GTGTCAGAGGCGGTGCGGTTGGCGCAGGACAGAGCAGGGTTTAGGGCTGTTGTGCATAGGGTCGCTATGAGTCGCAAATGACTCGACGGCACATAACAACAACAACATGAGTCGCAAGCGACTCCATGACACATAACAACAACAATACAGCAATCAGTATATAATAGCAATTCCTGTATATAAAAGTGTAAGCTAGTATTATTTTTCAAACAGGATCACTCATGTTTTCTTGTTAAAGGTTAAAGGTGAAAGTGAATGCTATCGATAATTCTGATCAGAAATCCTCAGCAAGAGTATTTCATCTTCCGAAACTTCAAGAAGCAGCAAGCCCAGCTATTTACAAGTAAGCCTACTATTTCCTACATTTTCTCTTTGCTCATTTAGTTTTGTTGGTTGTGTGCCATCCCCTGTTATCCTTTCAAGTTGCAGGAGTCAGTCAGTGACCTGGTATGCACCAGGATCTGCTGGGCGTGATATCAGACACCTCCCACCACTGTGTCCGGGTGAGCTGGCAACGCCCCCAGTGTTCTCTGCTTTAAAAGAACAAACACCTACACATTTAGAAATAACAAATGCCGAATGGGGAAAAAATTGTTAGCAACTTGTATTAAACCTTAAAAGGTAGAACCTTTTACATTGGGTTGTTCCAATTCAATTTAATTAAAGCAAAATGTCAATTTTTAATTTCATTTAGAGCAATTAAAAACTAGTTTACTTTTAGTGTATAGTAGCTATCGCCTAAATGTATCCAGAAATGAAGAGATAGTGTAAGCAGAAGTGTGGTATGGAACATGGAGAATCACCTCAACTAACTTGTTAGCTATTGGATTAGAAGGAATGATGTCCCTTATACATGGTTGGTGAGAATGTCAAATGGTGCTCCTGTCACTTTGGAAAACAATTGGCAGTTATTAAAATTGTTTAATATGGCAGTTATGCTCCTGGTTTTCTACTACAGAAAAATGAAAGTAAACATCCACATAAAAAGTCACATGTGAATGTTCACATTAGCATCATTCATAATAACCCCAAAGTGAAAACAATACAAATATGTATTTAATATAATTATGAACTAGTGAATAGATAAAGAAGATATGGTGGTTTAGTGGTAAGGAGTTGCACTGCCAACCCAAAGGCATGTGGTTCAAATCCACCAGCTTCTCTGTGAGAGAAGGATGGGCAATCTCATCCCATGTGATTAACAGCCTCTGAAAATTCACTGGAGGGTCAGCTATCAGTTGGTTCTGACTGGATGGTATATAACAGTAAAGGAATAAACAAAATGACATATGTTCATGGGAGAAATTATACAACAATAAAAAGTGAACAGTACAATTATTCACAATAAAAATGAACAAAAATGAATGTATGTTACAAAATGGGTAAATTTTAATATCATTATACTCATGAAAGAAGCTAGGCAAAGAAAACTACAAATTGTGTCATCCCATTTAAATGAATTATCCAGAAAAGGCAATATATGAAGATAGAAAGTAGATTAGTGATTTCTTAGGGCTGAGTGTGGAAATAGAAAGTGACTGTAATTTGGTATGAACTTTTGGGGATGAAAGAAATTTTCTAAAACTAGATTGCAGTAATAGCTGAACAAGTCTAAACATATATGAAAAAGTATTCACTTGGTTACTTAAGATGGATGGACTTTGAATGTATACTTATAATGGTGGGATGGATATATAATAAAAATGGCAGGATACACAGACAGCTGCCCAGATCCTTTTTAGCTAAGATACAAGAAAATGAAGATAACAGTTATGGATGATAATCCTGGAACTTGAGTTTCAAAGGTAAAGATAGAGAAGTAGTTCAAACACCAACTAAAGAAAGAGAAGAGCGAACTGGCGGGGAGGGGTGGGAAGGGAGAAAAGTGCAACAATGAATGGATAGAAATCCAAAGTCTCTGTAAATTTTCATTAAAATTAATAATAAAAAAATTTTAAAAATCCAGAATAAAAGATCACATCAAACAAAAAAAAAAGAAACAGATGAAAACACCAAATAAAGAGATAGACAAAGCAGCAAACTATCCATCAACAAAAACATGGATAGAAAAACTGAGGTATATTCACACAATGTTATATTATACAACACTGAAAAACAGTGAACTTGTAAAACACTACACTACATGGATGAGCCTGGAAGACATTATACTCAGTGAATTATATCAGTTACAAAAGAACAAATACTGTATAACACCACTATTATAAAATAGGACTGAAATAGGGGGCTGGAAAATGTGGATAGATAATGAACACTGCATCGGAACAGATGAGGGCAAGAACTGTCTGAAGGAGTTATGATTAGGCATTATGTAGATGATAACAATCTGCAACAAGAGGTGCATTGTGAAGTGGAGTGTGGAAAGGGCAAGGGAGGGAGAGGGAGGAAAATGTGCAACAATGAATGATGAAAACCCAACCTCCTCTAAACTTTCGTTAAAATCACAGTTTTGTTTTTTTTTAAAAAAAGCAAACTGTAAATGATGCAGCACTATACCCAGACAGTTTGAATGTTTGTGGGCAAAAGGAACCTGGACTGTACAGGTGTCTATACCAGCAGCTGGCTGGTGACAGAATGATGCCATCTCCTCCCTTGTCCTCATTCCCTACAGAGGAACTTTCCCCAACCCCCATCCACCACATGACTTGAAATGTTCCTCACCTTGGCCCAGCCCCATTTTCTATCTGGCAGTGGATGTAGGTACACAGCTCTATTTTCAAAAATTCTTTCAGGGTGCTGTTAGTCTGTACTATGCCTGGCCTGCAGCCAGTCCCTGGATTTGTGAGGGGTCCCAGCTCTGTCTTGAGTCCTAGAATCTCACCAGGAACCTTGTGGGTTGGATCTTGTCTGCAGAGTGTACCATCTCTGACTATGTAGCCTAGCTGTGTCCATCCCCTAGACTGGTGCAAACACCCCTACACTCTCCTTTCTTTCAGCTTGTTTTTTTCTTTCCCATTACTTTTCAGGTTTGTTTGTTTTGTTCTTGATTTCTTCTTCTTTCCTCTAGCTTTTCCTCTTACCCTTCTTGTTTGCCTTTTCATTTTTTTCCTTTTATTTTCACCTTTGTATTCTGTACTGATTCTCTTTCCAATTGTATCCTCAGTTTGGGTATTTCTTTAACTTTTTGAGATTTTTTTGAGGGACATTTGTTGTTTGTTTTGCATCTTCCTTTTTTCCTCTATTTCTAATATTTTTGTTTTTGTGTGTGTGTGTGTGTGTGTGTGTTTTGTTTTTTAGCCACTGGCAGCCAACAGCACAAATACCCACTCATCTCAGCCATATACACACCCTTGCTGTTCAGGTGGCAAAAGCTGGATGATGTTTAGAGTTGTTTGATGCTGACATGATCAGCAGAGAGAACAACTGCCTATCTGTGGGAGTCTTTGTGGTTTAAAGTAGAACACAGTAGCTGTCTCCGCAGTCCTGGGGCTGGAAATGCTGGAGCTGTCAGCCTTGTTGTGATGCTGGTGGACACTGCACTGTTTTGTCTGTTGAATAGAGCTGAAAATAGGGAGAATGTAGAAAGTATTGAAACCAAGCTTAGTTCACTTTGGTAGCTGAATAAAAGATGAGATGATTTCAAATTACTTTTCGTATAGTAGGTCTGAAAGGAGTGTGTTTTTCTGCAATTCCTGACCGATTTAGTGGGGAAAAGTTTTAGGATAATCAACACTCTAATCTGTGTTATGCAGATGACACAACTTTCCCTGCTGAAACTAAGGAGGACCTGAAGCGCTTGCTGCAGAAGGTCTAGGACTGCAGTCTTCAATATTAAAGAAAACAGATTCTCACCACTGGGCCAACTAGTTACCACCATGATAGATGGAGAGGAGATTGAGATTGTGAACAATTGCAGCTGCTTCATTCCACAATCAACACTCTTGGCACCAGCAGCCAGGAAATAAAAAAATTTATTCCATTAGCAAAGTCTGCTGTCAGGGACCTCTCCAGAGTGCTAAAGTGCAACATTGTCAGTCTAGAGACTAAAGTGCACCTACTTCAGGTCATGGTCTTTGCAATTATTTGCTATGCATCGGAGAACTGGACAGTGAATAATGATGACAGAAGAATTGAGACCTTTGAGTGTGGTGCTGGAGAAGAGTACTGAACACAACCATGAATTGCCAAGAGAACAAACAGGTCTGTCCTGGAGAGGGTGAAACTGAGCTGGAGGCAAGGAATTTGAAGCTCTGTCTCACATACTTTGGTCATGTTGCCAGAGGGACCAGTCCTTGGAGAAGGACATCACGCTGGGACATCAGGTGCAGGAGAGGAAAACTCTGGATGACAGACTGGCACAGTAACTGGGATAATCAGAGTAGGTGTGTTGGAGCCAGTGAGACTGAGTCAGGATAGGGCAGGGTTCAGGGCTATTGTGCATAGGGTTGCTATGAGTCACAGGCAACTCAATGGCACACAACAACAATTTCTACAAAAGGCTCTAGAAGGAAGGGTTTTGTTCTCAACTAGATCTTCTAGCAAAGTGAGACCCAGATATGAAAGAAAATATTCCATTGTTGGAGTACACGAAGGTTTAGAGTTTTGATATAAAGCTTGAGCCTTTAAGCTCCCTCTGGAAGAAAAGGAGGAAGATTAGATTCTCTCCCATGCAGTTACAGTAGCAGCGGTGGTGATGCTATGTTTGTTTTATGTTATAGATGATATAATGGACAACTTTGGCAGGGGGTCAGGGTAGGGTTATATCATATTATTTACTCGGTAGGACCTTCACTCATTTGGTGCATGCCAGTTGGTATCTCACCAATTCCAAGGCCTTATTTCTTGCTAATGCCTTAAAATGCAGCTTCAACTTCTTCATCATCATTGGTCTTGTTCATATATTACTTCCTGAAATGACTCTGTGCTCATTAATGTTGTTGTTTTTTTCCTTTCTAAAAAGGGGAAAATATGAACCCAGTCCCAGTCACAAATTAGAGAGTCAAGTGTCCACATTTGGGGACATTGCAGGGATCAACATATACCAATTATTTTGGGTACGTTGACTCAGTGGATTCCCTCCATCTACTTCTGATGGTCCCTAGGTGATTCAGGGTTTTGCCCATGATATCCTTCAGAACTGCAGTTCAACAGCACACAGCATCAAGAACAAAACACAGCTGTTAGAAAGGTTCATCATGCTTGGAAAGGTGGAGGGTCAGTGAGAGGAAAACCCTCAACGAGCTGGATTGACACAGTGACTGTAACAATGAACTCAAATATGTTAGAGATGATGAGGATGACACAGGATAGGACAGGGTTCAGATCTGTTGTTCAAAGGTTCACTATGAGCCATAGTTGAGCACCTACCAACAACCACCACCTTCACTCAGCTATTTGATTAAGCAAGAGTGATATTTCAGGTAAAAATATTTCTTGTGCTAGATAATGCTATCTATTCATATTTTCTCTTAAAACCATATAAATCATATGTATATATAAATTTTACAGAACTTATAATTGAGTTGATAACTATTTATGATACTCTTTGCTTTCTGGTTCTTCTCTATAGAAATGAAAAGGCATTCTTTCTAGAAAAGCAGCCTCTGTGTTATCAAGAGGGATGGAATCTGAGCCATAGAGAGTGTGACTCTGAAGGTCTCTTATCTCCCATGAACACCACCCAGGAGGTAGGAAGGAGGAGGACCAGGATGTGGTGAGTTCAAATTAGGGTTGTTCCACTTCATATGACACTAGAAAGCAATTGCTGTCACTGCATAATCTGAGCGGCTGGGGATGTCTCTGTACAGCAGGCTTCTGAGAAGAGGAGAAAAGAAAGCAAGCAAGCAAGAGAGTGAAGAGGAAGTGATAGAGAGGAAGATGGGCCCGGCCTACCACAGTCAGGTCTAGTGTCATTGTTCCCTGTCAATTAGGCTTCCACTTCCTGTGTCTCAGAACCTGGAATTTAGCCTTTTTTAGGAGTGGAATTAGAGGAGAAATCACAGGCCTCGCGCTACCCTCCTTACCTTCCAACTAGAAATCAATGCATGAATGGCACGCTTTCTGAGTATACAATTAATCTTTGTTCTTTTCTATTTTTCCATTTCTCTACTATCACTAAAGAAAAGGAAGGGGTGTTTCCCCCACCTCCCTCATGGAAAGTGTATTAAAACTTTCTTTTATGTCTTAGCTCCTTTTACTATCTCATTTTAGTGTTGTTTCATGCACTTTCATCCACAAATTTTTGACAAATGCCTTGTCTGAGCAAGGAGGGAGCACTGGTGGCCTAGTCTGGAGGGAATTGCACTGCTTGGCATCCCTCTGGTTGTTCAAATCCACCAGCGACTCCCAGGAGAAAAATGGGCAGTCTCCTCCCAGGAGATCTACAGCCTCTGAAATCCAATGGAGGATCAGCTGCAAGTTGGAATTGACTCAGCAGCAATGAGTTTGAGTTTTGTTGGGTATTTTCCTCTCCCTGGATCAGGAGTATTTGAGAGGCTAGAGACTTTTAAAAAGAGATGAAATTCTGGTGTTTTAGAACTTATAATGTGGGAGACAATAGGCAATAAATAGGCAAGCAAATATGTAATAGCATGTGCATTATCAGTAAGTGTAGAAGGAAAATGAAAACTGGTAATGGAGGTAAGAAAGATGGAGGAATAGAGAAAGCAGAACGAACAGTGGGGATTGTGAGGGTGGGGCAGGGTTTTGTCCATTGTCCAAAGCGTTGCTATGAGTCAGGCTTGACTCTGTGGCAATTGCTAACAACCAAATTTTAAGTAGAGAAGTTCAAGATAAAATCTGAATGAAAGAAGAGTGGGATATGGAGAGATCTGGGGGAACAACATTCCCTGCAGAAGAATTATTACCACCCAAAGCCCAAGACCGGAGTGAAGTTGGCAAGCTGAGAAGACAGTAATAAAAAGCCAGTGAGGCTTGTGGCTAAAGAGTGAGGAAAGGAAAAACAGGAGATTGGAGGGGAAGCAGTGGTTAGAGGCCATGATAAAGAGTAAGACTAAAAGCCAAAGTGTGAGAGAAAGCCATTTAAGAATTTTGAAGGCAGGGTGGGGAGGGATATTATTGTTGTTATGTGCCGTCAAGTTGCCTGTGACTCATGTGCTCTGAAGCCTGCACTGACTGACATACCAACCCCCACTGCCCTATTTATGGTATCAATCCACCTCAGCCGAGGTCTTCCTCTCCTGGCACCGTCCCTCCACGCTTCCGTGCATGATGTCCTTCTCCAAGGACCAGTGCATTATTAGCAGTTTAAAAAATATGGCTGCGTATGGAAAATTGATCATTCAGTAGTGAGTGTGGGAGCTGGGCGCTTTTCTTCCTGTTACGATTTCCTGCTTTGGAGCCTCATGGAGGGTCGATCTGAGTGCAAGTCCATTCGACAGGCACTGAGGTTGGTTGGAGTTTGGTAGAGCAGGGAGAAACTAGTTGGGAAGCTAGTACAACAGGCCGGGGAAAAAGATCACAGTTGCTTAAAATGAATGGTAATAAGGGCCTGAAACATAAGCAAGTTTACAGAGTTTATTATGTACTAGACAGAGAAGTGAGTGCAAGCAAGAGCGCAACAACAACGGTCTTATTTTTTCCCAGAGCACTGAGCAGATTATCATCCTATTTGCTGACATAAGAGAAGTCTGAGGGGGGAAGCAGTGTGGCAGGTAGAGGGGGCTCAAGTACAAAAGTAAGTAGTAATCCTATTTGGGGCGATTAAGCTCAAGATACTCCCAACCATTATATGAGGAGCATTTGGAAGGAAGATTATAAACCAACTTAATTGTTTTTTTCTTACCACCCGTTTAAATCTGTTCTGTGGTTATAATTCTTCTGTCCTGGACGTTCTCAGATAATAAAAAATTTCCCAGTTATAAGGTTGGTCTCAGTTTGGTAATTAATATTAATACCATCTGGTTTAATGATGAGACGCAGAGGTGGCTATTTAAGAAGCCACTGTACTCCCTACAACAAGTGGGTCTTCTCACCAGTAAAAATGTGCTTGCATTGGATCAGAAATGGGCCCCACGAGAGAAAATGAGCTGGGTCGTGTTGCCTTGATCACATTTTAGCAGAACAAGGAAATCACAACAGAGCAAGGTCAGAGTTATAGCAAATGCTTAAGATCCAAAGACAGGCATAATCAACCTGCATGTTGTATTCTACTCTCACACACACCACCAGTGTGTAAGAGTACAACTGTGCCCCAAAGGGCTCTCACTATTTTTGAAGTGTATTCTCAGGCCTTTCTTCCAAAGTGCTCCTGGATATACTTGACTCTCCAACCTTTTGGTTGACAGCCAAGTATGTTAACCATTCTTGCACCACCCAAGGACTTTATGAGTAAATTATACTCCAGATATAGTCAAACCTTAAAATAAGATGATAGGGAGCCCCTTAAGTCATATCACATGCCAGTGATCTATCCCACCTATGATAAGGCTGGCTATGCCCCTGAATCTCTGCATGTTTTGGGGGTTTTGTTTTGTGTTTTTTTTTTCCCCTTCAGTCTGACAGAGTGAGGAGAGGTTGAGGCAGAAAGTTTAGGTGGGAAACCTGCCTGTGAAATGAGCCCTTCTGCTCTGGCAGGAATAGGCTTCGAAGCGGACCAGCTCACTTTAGCTGAGGGTTTGATTTGTTCTTACAAGTCACTCATTCCTGTATCACACTTTCTCTGTCACCTTCTAAAGGTTTAGCAACCAAGGAGCATCCACCCTGATGACTGATGAAAGAGAGAGAGGACAAGGCAGCTTCCGAGGCAGCCAGCTACCAATGGGAATTCATTCAGAGTGAAGCCAAGAAAGTCACTAAGAACTGTGTAAAAAGCATCTGCAGTAAATGCCATCTGATTTTTGTTTTCAGTGTCTCTGTGCGTGTGACACTTAGGAAATGAAAATAACATGCAATGAATCTGATTGCAAATATTTTTCCCCAGAAATTGAGACAATTTTCTGGAAAAGCCTAATAATAACATCTAGCCTAATAAGAACAACATCTACCTTGCCGTGCACCTATCTCAGTTCATTTGTTCTGTCCTTACATTAAGGTCACTTAGGTGTTGAGGTGCCCCGTCGGGTTTCTCAGGCTGTAAATCTTCACGGAAGCTGATTGCTACACCTTTCTACAGCAGATTGTCTGATGGGTTTAAACTGCCATCCTTGTGGTTATAATAACCAAGTTCTATCAGGGCCCTTTTCTTCAGGCTCCCCTAAAATCCATACCCACATATTCTCCACAGATTTTTACAATATTTTTTAGAAACATTTAAAATTAATTTTGGATGTGACTCCACCCTTGCTGATTTGAACTCTACATCCTCCCTGGCCCCCCGGTTCAGGCTGCGTTTGAATTTTAGTCACAGGATGACCTTGTAGGGCACAGGGCATAGGAAGCCAGAATTTTATTTCTCTTGACTAACAGGGAATTGATCTGAGAGAGTCTGAGTTCCACGTTTTCATCTGTTTCCCACAAGAATATGTTACCAAGAGCCCCCTCTTTCCAAGTAAGTGCCCTAGCATTCATATAAAACACTGGCAGCTTTGTTAATTCAACTGAAGTTGTAATATACCAACATGCAACAACATATAAAATCAATTTATGAACCTGGAAGTTACAGACTGGATGGGATTTATCCAGAAGGGTGGCCCTATGTTTATTTTTATGCCTTGAAGCTAACATTCTGGCATCTGAGCATATTGTTTTCCTGTTTTAAATTACCAGTTTAACTGTATCATTCTATATTCATCCTCTTTAAATTTCTCTACTCTTGACACTCATCCAATCTCGCAGTATCTTAACCCTAATTGACATAGGGTTCAAGGTGATTTAATTTGTTAAAGACTTTATATTGTGAGGATTTTTTTAAAAGAAGAAAACAAGACTGTCAAGAAGAGGGTGAAACCAGGCTGCTCCCTGGGGGCAAGGATTTTGAGGCTCCATCTCACATACTTTGGGCATGTGGCCAAGAGGGACCAGTCCTTGGAGAAAGACATCCAACTTGGAAGGGTGAAGAGACAGCACAGGAGAGGAAGATCCAGGATAAAATGGATTGACTCGGTGACTAGAGAAATGGAATTAGGTCTGTCAGAGACAATGAGATTGTCTCAGGATAGGGTAGGGTCCACAGCTAATGCACATAGGGTTGCTATGAGTCACAGGTGACTCGATGGTACATAACAATAACACAACAACATATAAAAATGCCGGTAATTGTATAATGAAACTCTATGTAGTCCCTACCCAGCTTTAGTAATGATCTCATGGCTGGTCTTCCTTCATCTATATCTGTCTCTAATTATTAATTCCACTGGATTATTTTAGAGTAAATCCCAGAGATTTCTTCAGCTATAATTTCCCAGTATAGTTTGTAAGTGTGGAATTCTCCCCTCCCTTCTTTGCACTTGGACATGAATACAAACTCGAGACCTCACATTCCCTCTGAAGTAGTATTTCTTGTACTCCTCTCTCTCTGATATTATTTTTATACTAATTAAGACGTTCTGTATTATTTTTTAAATTTTTTTATTTTATTATTTGTGTGTACCATCAAATCAGATCTGACTGGTACAGGAGGCGATTGTCCCTCTTTCCCCGGCAGAGCATCTGGTGGATTCGAACTGTGTGCCTCTGGGATTGCAGTGCAGGTAGGTTCTTGACACTAGGCCACCAGAGCTCCCCTAGACATTCTGTATTATTAATAGTAAGGTAACTAAATCTGAAAATCAGAACAATAGCAATTATCCACTCTGAATAACACATATATTTCACAGAATTAAAATGAAAAGAGAACATATCAAAGCATTTGTGCTGTAGCTAAGAGCTGTGCTGAGGGAAATTTAGAAAACTAAATACACCCATTAGTAAAGAGGAAAATCTCAAATCAATAGCCGAAAAGCTAATCTCAAGAATATAGAGAAAATCAGAAAAAACCTTAAGCAAGCAGAAGGAAGGAATAATAAAGAGCAGAAATCAATAAAATAAAATGTAGAAAAGCAATAGGCAGAACAATTTCTTTTTTAGCAAATGGAATGCTTGTGGAATAACTATTTTTTTAGCAAATCGAATGCTTGTGGCAATTCTGGATTGAGCAAGTCTATTGGCACCATTTTTGCAACAGCTTTCACTTCTCTTTGTGTCACATACTGGAATTTTTCATATTTCAAACTTTTTTAAAGCTATTGCACACTTAATAGACTTCTATATATATAAACATAACTTCCTGTTACACTAGGAAACTAAAAAATTCCTCTGACTCTCTTTATTGTGGTATTTGCTTTATTGCAGTCGTCTGGAAATGAGCTCACAGTGCCTCTCTGACATGCCTGCAAAATGAAGAGCAGGTTCTTTGAAAAGAACAATAAAGTTGACAAACCTCTGGCAAGAGTATTGACAAAAACTTCCCCCCCAAAACAAGAGAAGATATAGATTACCGATGTTAGGAATCTAACAGGATGGCACAACAAATCCTGCAGACATCTAAAGAAATATTACTAACAACTCTACACATAAAAATTTGATAATGTAGATGAAATGAACCAATTCCTCAGAAACCAAAAACTGTCTCAGATGCCAACAAGCACATGAAGAAATATTCAAAATCCCTAGCTCTAAGAAAGATGCAAGTCAAAACAACTTTGAGATATCATCTCATCCCAGTAAGAATACAAAGTTCAACAGAACAGCAAACATCAAATGCTGGCAAGGTTGCAGAGAAACTGGAACCCTTATTCACTGTTGGTGGAAGTGTAAAATAGTGCAACCATAATGGAAGACTGTATGGCGGTTTCTCAAAAAGTTGCAAAGAGAAATACCATTTGACCCAGCAATTCTACTACTGGGAATATATCCTAAAGAAATCCGCACTGCCCCCAAAACAGATATATGCACACCCGTGTTTGTTGCGGCTCTGTTCACAATAGCAAAGAGTTGGAAACAACCTAAGTGCTCATCAACAAACAAATGGATAGAGAAGCTGTGGTATATTCACACAATGGAATACTATGCAGCATTGAAAAACAAATAACTCATGAAATATTATACAAAATGGGTGACCCTGGAGGACATTATGCTGAGTGAAATATCTCAGTCACAAAAGGACAAATATTGCATAGGATCACTGTTGTAAAATGGGACTGACATCAGGGTTGAGGGAAGAAGACTGAGAAAGATGGGATAAATAATGTATGCTGCATTGAAACAGATGAGGGAGAGAACTTTAAAAGGGATATATGATTAGGCATTGTTGTCATGACAGGAGTCCAGAATGAAGACCGCATAGTAGAGTGGACTTGGGGGGAGGGATTGTATAACAATGAAAGAATTTTTCGTTTACTTTTCAAAGAGAAGAGCTAATTGAGGGGGAGAGGATGGGCAGGGAGAAAAGTGCAACAATGAATGAATGGAAACCCCAAGTCTCTGTAAACTTTCATTAAAGTTAATAAAAATAGAGAGTTATGGTGGCCTAGTGGCAAGAAGTTGCACTGCAATCCCAAAGGTGCGTGGTTTGAATCCACTAGATGCTCCACTGGAGAAGCGGGGGCAAACTCCTTCTGCGCCAGCTAGATCCAATTCAACTGTACACCAAATTAAAATAAAAAAATAATAAAACCCCCCAAAACACAACACACCCCCCAAAACCCAAAAACTGTCATAGCTCATCCAATATAAAATCCATCATTTGAATAACCCCTGTGACTCTGGTAGGTAGAAATCCCATAAGCTCATTGAGAGAAAGACGGGCAGTCTTCTCCCACAAAGATTTATAGCCTCAGTAAAACTGTGTATATATATTTGTAGAAAATTTAAAAAAGATTCATACTGCTCACCATATATAAAACTAACTCAAGATGGTTCAAGGACCTAGACACCAAACTTAAACTATAAAAATCATCAAAGAGAAAAAATTGGAGCAAATCAGATGGATTGACACAGTGACTGCAGCAATGGGCTTGAGTGTGTCAGAAAGTACGAGGATGGCACAGGATAGACGGGATTCAGATCTATTGTTCATGGGGTTGCAATGGTTGTATTTGACAGCACCTAACAACAATAACCTATTACATAAATTGTACTTATTGTTGTGTACTGTTGAGATTTAGGCCTAGGAAACCCTAAAGGCAGTTCTACTTTGAGCTATAGGATCCTGAGTAACTGGAATAGACTTGATGACAGTAGGTTGCATTTGACAGTAGGTTGGGCTTCTAGTATTGATTGGATCAAATAAAATATTATGAGAAATGACAATCTCATAAGCAGAAATGAATTTGATTAGATTGAAAGTACCTTCCACACTTTTGCCAAGTGTCCTCACGAGAGTGACATCATCTTTAAACCCCGTGTGGAAATCCCTGATGCACTGCCGTGATGCCCAGGGAAGACAGGGCAACCTGGAAGTCCAACTACTTCCTTCAGATCATTTGACGTCTGGATGACTATCAGAAATACTTCATCGTGGTGCAGATAATGTGGGCTCCAAGCAGATGCAGCAGATCCTCATGCCTCTTCGCAGGAAGGCTATAGTTCTGATGGGCAAGAACACCATGATGGACAAGGGCATCTGGGGGCCACCTGGACATCAACTGGACCCTGGAGAAGCTTCTGCCTCACATCCAAGGAAAAGTAGAGTTTGTATTCACCAAAGAGGATCTCATAGGAATCAGGGACATGCTTTTGGCCAAAACGGTGCTGGCTGTTGCCCATGCTGGTGCTATCACTCTGTATGAGTTTGCTATGCCGGCTCAGAACACTGATCTGGGCCTCAAGTAGACCTCCTTATTCCAGGCATTGAGCATCACCAGTAAGATCTCCAGGGACACCATTGAAATCCTGAGTGATGTGCAGCTGATTAAGACTGGAGCCAGTGAGGCCCTGCTGAACATGTTGGATATCTCCCCCTTCTCCTTAGGGCTGATCATCCAGCAGGTGTTTGACAACGGCAGCATCTATAATCCTGAAGTGCTTGACATCACAGAGGAGACCTGCATACCCGCTTCTTGGAGGGTGTCTGCAATGTTGCTAGTGTATGTCTGTAGATTGGTTACCCAGCCATGGCCTCAATACCACACACTCCATCATCAAACGGTACAAGCCGTTTGTCTGTGGAGATTGAGTACACCTTCCCACTGCTGTAAAGGTCAAGGCCTTCCTGGCTGATCCATTTGCATTTGTGACTGCTGGCCCTGTAGCTGCCGCTACTGTTGCTGCTCCTGCCGCTGCGGCCTCAGCCAAGGTGGAAGCAAAGGGAGAGTTGGAGGAGTCGGGTGAAGATATGGGATTTGGTCTCTGCGACTAATAACTAAATAGTTGCCAATTCGTTCAGCTTTGTGTGAAACAGGGAAGTAAAGGCTTCATTCTCTTAAAAGCCAAAAAAAAAAAAGGTACCTTCCACAAATCTTACAGGTTGTTCATTCAATTATTCATACACATTTTGTTTTAGAATATTAATTACAGTTAACAGTAATTTGTTACAATATCTAATCAGTTCTTTACTATATATTGCCTTTCCCTTTGCACAATTTATCTATTAATTTTTTCCTCTGCTGCCAGTGGAGTGGTGTCCACTTCCAAAATGGCTTGCCTCCAGAAACTCAATGTACAGTGCTCAGGTCTTCTGTTCATAGGGTCATTATGAGTTGTCAACGACTCAACGGCACCTAACAACAACAACTCCTGCCAACCCAAAGGTACTATAGTTTCTTTAGCTAGTTAGCCATTGATGGACACCTGGGTTGTTCCCAGTGCTCTATCGTAAATAATGCTGCTGTTGTGCATAATGCTCTCTATTGTACATAAGGCTTCAATAAACATGGACAAATATAAGTGAGTCTGTGCCCCAGCTCTTATTTCTTTCAGATACATAACTAACCGTGAAATAAAATTGTACTTCTATCCCCAACTCTCTAAAGAAGTATTAAACTGCTTTCCATAATGGTTATACCATTTTGCAGTGTCACCAGCAATGTATGAGGATGCCAATCTACACATCCTCTGAAATATTTGTTGTTTGCTGTCTTACTATACATTACTGTTGTTTCTGAGGTGAGAGGTTACCTTACTGTCATTTCGATTTGCATCTCTCTAAATTATAGCCAACATTAGATGGATCTTGGCTGAAAGCAGAGAGAACCAGAGGAATGTCTGCCTGTGGTTCATTGACTATGCAAAAGCTTTTGACTGTATGGATCACAACAAACTGTAGCTCATTCTGAGAAGAATGGGAAGCCCAGAACACTTGATTGTGCTTATGTGAAACCCACTTGGACCAGGAGGCTGTCGCCAGAACAGAGGAAGGAAACACTGCATGTTTCAAAATCAGAGGAGGTGTACACCAGGGATGCATCTTGTTTTCATGCCTTTTCTTTTTATTTTTTCCTTCTTTTTAAAAATGTTTTTAAATTTTAATTGAGACTTTAATTAAAGTTTATAGAGAAGTTGGATTTCCATTCATTCATCATTGCACATTTTCTTCCCTACTCATCCCCCACTTCTCTTTTCTCTTTGAAAAAAAATTATTTCATTATTGCACAATTTCCTTCCCCCTCCCGCAAGTCCACTTTGCTATGCAGCTCTTATTCTGGACTGTTGTCCTGCAAATAATACCTAGTAATAGATTCCTCTTTTAAAATTGAGATTTTTTTTAAAGTTTACAGAGAACATGGATTTGCATTCATTCATTGTTGCACATTTTCTTCCCTACACACTCCTCCCTCAGTTCACTTTTCTCTTTGAAAAAAAATTTATTTAATTGTTATACAATTCTCCCTACCTCAGTTCATTCACTATGCAGCTCTAATTCTGAACTGTTGTCATGCAAATAATACCTAATCATATATTCCATTTAAGCAGTTCTGTCCCGCATCTGTTTCAATGCAGTGTACATTATTTATCCCCTCTTTCCTTAGTTTTCCCCAACCCCATGTCAGTCCTGCTTTATACCAGTGGCACTATGCAGTATTTCTCCTTTTGTGACTGAGATATTTCACTTAGTATAATGTCTTCCAGGGTCAACCCACTTTGTAGAATATTTCATGAGTTTCTTGTTTTTCAGTGCTGCATAGTATTCCATTGTGTGACTATACCACAGCTTCTCTATCCATTTATTGATGGGCACTTGGTTTGTTTCCATCTCTTTGCTATTGGAAACAATGCAGCAATAAACAAGAGTGTGCATATATCTGTTTGGGTGGCAGTGTGGATTTCTTTAGGGTGTATTCCCAGTAGTGGAATTGCTGGATCAAATGATATTTCTGTTTCCAACTTTTTGAGAAAGCACCATACTGCCTTCCATAGTGGTTGCACCATTTTAAACTCCCACTAAGGATCAATAAGGGTTCCAGTTTCTCCACAACCTCACCAGCATTTGTTGTTTGTTGTTCTGTTGAATTTTGCTATTGCTCCTGGGGTGAGATGATATCTCATAGTTGTTTTGATTTGCATCTCTCTTAGAGCTAGGGATTTTAAACATTTCTCATGTGTGTGTTTGCCATCTGAATGTCTTCTTTGGTGAAGTGTCTGCTCTTAGAGCTAGGGATTTTAAACATTTCTCATGTGTGTGTTTGCCATCTGAATGTCTTCTTTGGTGAAGTGTCTGTTCATATCCTGTGCCCATTTTGCGACTAGGTTGTTTACCTTTACCTTGTTGTGGTGCTCAAATACTCTATAAATTCTAGATATAAGTCCCTTATTAGACATGTCATTACCAACTACTTTTCTCCCTGGTCTGTGGCTTTCCTTTTTACCTTTTTGGAGAAGTTTTTTTGATGTGTATAGAGATTTGATTCTTAGACGGTCCCATTCATCTATTTTATTCTCTTCTGGTTGTAGGTTTTTTAGGATGCTTGAAAGACTGTTCCTGTTGTGGATTAGGGCTTCTAGAATGCTTCCAAGCTTTTCTCTAATGAAGTTTATAGTCCATCCTTGGTTTTAGTCCTAGGTCCTTGATCCACTTTGAGTTAGTTTTTGTGTATGGTGTGATCTCCATACCTTTTCAATCTATATGCAGAACAGATCATCCAGGAGGCTGGGTTCTATGAGGAGGAATGTGGAATTAGGACTGGAGGAAGACTCATCAACAACCTGCATTATGCAGATGACACACCTCCTTGTCCAAATTGAGGAGGACATGAAGCATTTGCTGCAGAAGGTCAAGGACTGCACCCTTCAGTATGGATTGAAGTTCAACATCAAGAAAATAAAGATTCTCACCAGCCTCCTCCTGAAAAGATGTATAGCCTTGGACCTGATGGAGGGTTCATTGAGTGAAACTGACTTGATGGCATGGGCTTTGGCATCACTACTAAGGAAATGAAATTAATAATTTTTAAAATTCCAGAGAAAGAAATCACCAGGCCAAGATGCTATTGTTGAAGAAATCTACTAAATGTTTAAAAAAGAATAGTCCTACACACTTTTTTCTATAAAGTATACTACTTCTCAATTCTTATTATTAAACTAATTCTATCTTAATATCCAAATCACAAATAAAAAGAAGACAACTATGGACCAACAGCCTTTACAAATAGAGACACAAAAATCTTTAAAAAAATATTATCAAATAGAACTTAGCAATGCATAAAAAGAAGCATTCATCATAACGAAATGAGTATTATACCAGGGTTGCCAGGGTGGTGGTTTAATATTTGAAAATCAGTGAATGTAAACTACCATATTAATATGATGAAGAAAATCACATGATCATATAAAATGATACAGAAAAAGCATGTGACAAAATGAAACCCTTGTTCATTTTATATCTATCTCCTCTCTCTCTCTCTCTCTCTCTCTCTCCCTCCCTCCCTCCCTCCTCCATCTCAACTCATAGCTGGCCCTCTAGTAGGAAGAAGATTGTCCATCTTTTCCCCATGGAGTAAGTTGTGGATTTGAACCACCTTCCTTTGGGTTGACAGCACCCCTTACGCTAGACTACCAGAATTCCATATATGAACAACAGATCAGAACCTTGCCTTATCTGTGTCATCCACACTCTCCCCACCATGCCCATTGTTATGATCACTGTGTCAATTCATCTTGTTGAGGATCTTCTTTTCTTTTGATGACCCTCCACTTTCTCCAGCATGATGTCTTTTCCAAGAAGTAATCAGTGCTCACAACATGCCCAAAGTATATGAGATGAAATTTCACTATCTTGGCCTCTGAGGAGCACTCTGGTTGTATTTCCTCCAAGACAGATTTGTTCTCTTGACAGTCCATGGGATATTCAGTATTCGTCTCTAACACCACAATTCAAAGGCATCAATTCTTCTTCTGTCAGTCATCCTTACTCACTGTTCAACTTTAAGATGCATTTCCTATGAAACACTTGAAAACATTGTGGCTTGATACCATGATACTTTAACAACATGATCCACAAAGGAAGTACTGAGAACTTGTTTTTTTTATTGTTAGATATCCTTGTTGAGTTTTCTTGTTAGATATCATTGTTGAACTTATGTACAAGATGTTGAAAACTTGCCTGATCTTGCAGCGTCCTCACAATCTCTGCTGTGCATTGTTGCAGTCCCTCGTCCAGTCCATTTCATTGAGGGTCTTCCCCTCCTTGGATGGTTCTAAGAAAGATGTCCTCTTTCAAAGATTGGTTCCATCTGACAACATGCCCAAACTATGTGTAATGAAGTCTCACAATTTTTGCTTCTAAGGAATATTCTGGCCACACTCTTTATAACTGAGATTTGTTTGTTCTTTTAGCACTCCATAGTATATTCAACTCCTTGCCAATACATTTAAAGGCATCCATTCTTCTTCAGTCTTCCTTATTTATTGTTCAGCATTCACATGCCTCTAAAACAACTGAACATATGGTTTGGGCCACATGTACCTTAGTATTTAAATAGATATCCTTATTTTTTAAATACTTTCACACAGTCCATATTTTTTCTAAAGGAATGTGTCTTTTGGTTTCTTGACTGCTAATTCAATAGATGTTACTTGTGGATTCAAAGGAAATAACATAATTGATAACTTAAATCTCTCCATCTATCATAATGTTGCTTATTGACCCAGTTGTGAGGATTTTAATTTTCTTAATGTTTAAATACAAATAACTCACAAAATCCTACGTTATGGGGAAAGCTTACCAATCTGAAGTACTGCCCCAGTTGACGGCCTAACACCAGCTTCTTGTAAATAGATTAGGAAAAACTCACTTCATTCAAAGAAGGATAATAAAAAGTGAAACCAGTATTAGTTGTTGTTTAGAATTTTAAAAAAGTATAAGGAGAACAATAATGGCACAGATGGTGGCTTGGAGAGAGGGAAGCTGATAAGATCGTAGAT